TCATCTACCAAGGATGATTCTGACCAAGTTTGAAAAAATTCCATCCACTGGTTCTTGAGAAGAAGTTGATAATGTAAAAAGTTTACACACGACGGACGGACGGAAAGTGATTGGAATAGGTCACTTGAGCAAAGCTCAGGTGACCTAAAAAGGTGTTCCTACACCTGGAAGAGGTATTTAGATTGATAAATAAATCAACTACATGTAGGAGGTACCACAACCACTTTAAGTCTTATCATACTGCTCTTTTATTCATATCTTATAACTTGCTAACATATTGCTGATTATTAAACATCTATTTGCTAACAGAGCTTATACATGGAAAAATACTCCAAAAAATCTTGAATACATTTTCAGTAATTTGCTTATGTTTCTTGTCACACAGTAGATAGTTTACATATATATGTTAATATCTTTGATAAGATTCATGATTTGGTATATATCCTACGTGCGATATGCTATTTTTTCACTTCCAGTATTATGTAATAATGCTACACTGCTTTGAAAAAGCCTTGCAAGGCCTGCATCATACCCTAAATTGTTACATTTATAAGCGGACAAACCAGTTGTTCTGCAATAAAGAACAGGCCCCTGGTTTACAGTGTGGAGGAAATACTTAGCATGAGAAGATGTTAAATGACGTGAGTCTCCCTCCCTAATGTGAGAGCTGGCAACCCTGCTTATAGAGTCTTTCAATGTTTATGGGTTAGTTTAGGAACCTTTGTTTAGCGACCATCTGTCTTACATATGACCTACTTTCCTTTGTCACTTAAAAGTCACTTTAGACAGGTTTGACTGTACTGCTTGTGAAATAATAACACACATACAAGGTAATACACTCAGTTGATTCAATTCCATGACTCGCGACTTTTTTCATTTGCATTACATTACTAATTCTCCTCTAAATCTCCAATGAATATCAAAATAAAGTTACACCAGTAACTTACCTGAGATTCAAAATGTACAGACAGAGCTGAAACAGGTAGAAGTTGTCTATTAAATCATTGCCAAAACATTGTTTCAAAACCATCTACATAATACAATCAGTCAAAGGGGAGATAATTCTAAATATTCATATTTTCTGACTCCTCAGTTTGTTAATGGTAATTTGTAAATATCTTGTAAGTAATAATTAATCAAATTATTAAATTAACAAGCTAATATTTTACAGCTTCTGTTAAATTGTTGATAATGATCCTCTGAAAAGTGGTTTTTATAACAGTTTACAACATCACAGATCGAGATTTCAAAGTTAAAATGAATTTATAGAAAACCAATCCCTTTACCTGTCAGTCCCCACCATGTAGGGCATTTACTGGTCAGCTTGACCACTCCTGAAGCAAACATGAGGCGGAAGAGGAGCCAGCGTACCAACCAAAGAGTGATGCTATCATGTTGGTGGTACGGTGACATCCTCCACTTCTTCGGTAACTGGAGATTAAATGGAGCCACTAAGATCGCCAGGAAACCTGTTTCTAGGAGCAAAATATCCCTGAAAGTAATTCAAAATCTTTAAAAATTATATTAAAACATTTAAAAATATTACTTCAGCCTGTCATTGACACTCCAATGCAATAAATCATGTATCCCTTAGAGATGAACACTTTGAAGTTAAATTTTACACTATTCAGTGTTCTCATTAAATTTTTACACTATTTAGTATTCTCATTAAACTTTTATACTTTTCAGTGTTTTCATTAAACTTTTACATTTTTCAGTGCTCTCATTAAAAGCCAGCTGCCAGGGTTTCAATTTTGTGAAACAGAATAGTCAATAGTTAAAGAATATATTTCACACATTTTTTCAGGTCATGAACATAGCAAAAAGAAAACTTCCACAAACTATAATGTTCATATAGTGTCAGCAGATATAGGTTATTATTATCTCTAGTGTTAGTGAACACTAGTACACATTCACAGATAACCATTTCTGTACCACACTGTCTGTTTAAGCTTTCATTTCAGAAATTCTGCAGCATGTAGGATTGGTGTTGCAATTATCCTTTATCAATGACAGGTTGACAAGAATGAGAGATAAAGGAATGGGAAAGAGATGGTACCACTCACCATTGGAACCACAGAAATGTCTGCCCAACCTAAAATCACAAAAATAGGTAGAATGTATTCAATTTTAGCAGCAAAACTAGGAAAATTAATGTCTTTTAATTCATTACTGTAATTACTCCATGAGAGAATTTTTTATGTTTTAACTTTAGTAATGTTTACTAATAAATAGAAATTCACATAAAAATATTACTGTAGAATAACTGATGTTTCCTGTGAATATTGTGGTTAAGTTTCAATTCTTTAAGTAGATTTTGTAGTTCTACACAAAATGAATTGGTAAACATCAATCACCTGCAGGCTAAAGTTAAATCAGGTCATGTACTAATAGTGGTACAATAAACTAGGTCGATTACCTGCTAACTGTTGTACCACAAACTACAATGTAGGTCATACTGTGGTACCATGAAAAAGGTCACACTCTACTGGGCTATTTAGTGGTATCATACACCATAAACTAGTTCATTCTGTGGTACAAGATGTTCAACGTTAGACACACCTGATACAGAGATAGGTATAACATCCAAAGGAGAGTGTAGGCTACAGTGTCCCGAGCCCCACCAAACACCAAACTAAGGAAGGACACCAGCATCCCGATCAGACATAGCAGATCCATCCCTCCCTGAGCATCCAGACCAAGGCGTGGGGTCAACTTCATCAGAGTTGGAGCTCCATCCAACAGTTCCTCTATTGAATCTATCTCTACAGAAATCCCAGAGATTGACATACTGAAGCAGCACTGACATTAATTATTATTTAAAGAAATAATAACATTTTTTTTAATATTTTCTTTTTATATAATGAAGAAAATATTAACGTGAAACAGAAAGCATGAGGCCCAAGGGCCTTAGCGGTCACCTGAGTTATATCATAGGTACTGGTAGCTTTATTTTATTGTTTAGATGTGATGTGGAAATCAGCATGTAAACTAAGTGAAATACAATACTTGTCATGTCATCAAAGGATAAGAATTTTAAAATGTTTGTAAATGTTCCCTTTGGGGCCCCGCTCTAACCCCTGGGGATGGGGCAGGAATTCCAAGTTTAAATTGTGATACCGTCATCCACCAAAGATGATTCTGACCAAGTAAAAATAATTTCCAACAGAAAATTGTCAAAATATACCCAAAAGTGTTGTTTCCCTATATAAACTATAGTAAACTTTACC